TGGGTATTATAAGGTGGCTGATTTGCTGGGTATTATAAGGTGGCTGATTTGGTAGCTATTATTCTTTATCGCACCAGATAAAGGAGTAAATTTATGATATGGCTGATTTATTCGTTATTATATGGTAACCAATTTCTTGGTCAATCAAATATGTGAACTGCGTTTTACTGAATCAAAGATTTCTGTTCAATTGACATATATTTTGATTATACTAACTGGCATAAACAAGACGGAAACCCAGTTGTTTGATCAAAGTAGCATCTCTCTCAGCGTGTTCCAGCACTGGGTCTATAAGGACAGCCTCGTTTGTCCGCGTGTCCGCCAGTAGATAAGTGTACGTGCTGCTTACTGTATCGAACAGCTGTAACGGATAAAAAAACTTTCGTTAAGCAGATATTACAACACAGAAATTTGAATGTATGGGAACTAGCATCAACGTTCAAACGTCATCTGTTCTGCGCGGCGAGGCCACTAGAGGTGGGCATTTAAACGAAAAACACTTAAAAAAGTCTGCTTTTTAAAATAAGCGCATAAGCACGCTTTTCATTTTAAGCGTAAGCGTTGCTTTTAAACATAAAGTCTATGCGCTTAAGCGTTTTTCTAAACGACTTTTTAAGCGTCAAACTAAAAAGCGTTTAGGTAAAAAGCGCTTTTACAAAGCACGCTTTTTAAACGTACATTTTAACGTTAAAAAAATAAGCATTTTTCCATTTCAACGGTTAACAACTACAAAAGTTAAACAACTTATGTTTTTGAACGCTTTTAAACGCCAATGAACAAAATGTTAATACAATAATGTTATGTCATAATAAAAATTAACTCGTTTTTTACAAAAAAACACAAAAGTCTATGCGCTGAAACGTTTTCTAAACGATTTTGTTAGCTTCAAACTAAAAAGCGTTTAAGCGAAAATGCGTTTAAAAAAGCATAACGTTTAAACGTTTAAAAAAATAAGCAGTTTTTCCTCATCTTTAGAGGCCACGCACCGCGTATTTTTATGTTAGCGAGACAGCAATTCATCTGTCCCGCTCTCGCATTTAATATGGAGCCTCTGATTGGGTTTTATTAATGTAGGCTCTCCATTGGCTTAACTTTGTATTTAGGTTTAGTATAAATATAGCGCCTTTTTGACAAATAAATTATACTTCTGCCAACTTTCGACCTCGGAGTTTCATTCATCAACCAAGCGATCCCCCATAAATTAAAATGCATCGTAGGGGCTTACTTGCTTATTTGAAGATTATTGTAACATTTTAAAGTTCATGGAATTTTTACGAATATGGATACAAAGTCGATTAGTATGAGCTTTCAAAGTTAATGATAAGAAATAATCACAAAGAAGCTCGCCCTGTAATATTACTTCATATTTAAACACTGTTGATATTTATGTATGAAAACATAACGTAACAATGAAATTATATAACATTAATAACTACACCATAAAAATATCTGTGCTATCGGAGCACAAGTGGTGTAACCCACATTACATTTTTTTCTACAATATTACTTTAAAACATAGTTCCCCAAAGTGGTCCAGTGCGCCCTGAAGAGTCCTAGGTGGGGCGGTAGGGGCAACGGAAGCATTTGAAAAAAAAAAGACTACACTACATACATATAGGATTTTTTTCCTTGAGATTTTTTGTGTTAAGTTATCGAGTTTTCAATTATTTTTGTGGGCGTAGGCTTGAATTTTTTTTTATTTTGCCTAAGTGGGCGGTGACACAAAAAGTTTGGAAATCTATGCTTTAAAAATAAATATAATTATTTTATCTATGGATGCTATTTTCATGTATAAAAAATATTAATTAAATATTTTTTATGGTTACCTATCAGTAGTCCGAAATGACATTTTCCAGAATTAACGTTTGCTCGAATTTTCATAACCTCGAAAGTAATTTTGAGAGAAAATGTTTTTTCTTTTAAACCTAACCTAACCTAATAAACATCCAACATATCCTGAAAGAACAACGGTTTCGTTATAATTCGGTTTTCGGTGTAATGAAAATTCGAACAAACGTTATTTCGAAAAAAAAATTATTCGAGTTTGTGATAGGTTACCATTTATTATACATGAAAATAGCATCTAAAAATAAAATGATCATGTACTTTACTATCATTTCAAATCTCCTTCTTATCGCATCGATGGCTAACACTGTAATACTTGCCACTGTTTAATATTTCACGATAATATACTTGCATACTTAAATAATAAAAGTTTCCACCGGAATTAGGTAGAGAAAACTAACATGAAAATTACCCAACTGCGTTAATACGTGTATGGTTATCGTATCGATGGCAAACATTGTAATGCTTGCCAACGTGGTGAAAGGAGTTGCCAATTGGTGGAAAGTACTCGCCGATTGTAGCCCAGGGTGATCCAGACATACACAAAAGGAATGGTACCTCGTGCGAGCAAGCTCAACAATCGACAATCTGTCGTCACGACATAGTGGGAACGCGCCCTTACATTGACCATAAAGTTCATTATGCCATATACAATATCGTTACAAATATTCGCTTCCATTCCGTTCCGTCGCAATATAAATTGAGCCTATTGCGCTGATAACCTCAATTATAGGTCCGAAATAATTAGAACTTTTTTATAAAATACCAGCCTCAAATATTAGTGGAATTACATCTATTTGCCAAGTTTTATTGAAATCGTTTACCGGAAAGTGTGCGAAACCGGTTTCATCCCCTACTTTGCACCCTTTGAGTTGAAACATTTTCTTCAAAATTAAATGGAGCCTATATTGAGGTACCCTCTTTCCAATAAAAAAAAGAATATAAAAATCGTTTCACACATTTTAGTTGTCGCGTAATATACATACAAAAAAACCAGTCATATTATGAACCTTCTCCTTTTATGAAGTCGATTAAAAATAGTTTCATTTCCGATATATCGACCCCTCCTACGTTAAATATCGTATGTCGAAATTGCCAAGTTTACAGGGAAGCGTTTTAAAGTTCTCAATTCACTGCAATGAGCATAACACGTAACTTTAGCATTTCTCAGTTTTATTCGGCAAAGCTCGTTACTCACATAGAGTATTGTAAAATCCTAGATGTCGGTTAGATGATCACTCTATGTCAGTAATAAGGTTTTGCCAAATAAAACGGAGAACTTTGAAACGCTGCCCTGTAAACTTGGCAATTTCGACATACGATACTTTACGTAGGAGGGCTCGATATGGCAATCGCGAAAACCTAAGATATATTTATCGTAGTCAGGGGTCACGCTAACTTGGTGGAAGTAACAGCTGATCGTCTGGTCACCGCTTGAATAAGGCGAATGGAAAGCTCCACAACGAGAAGTTTCACCTGTCACCCCCAAGGTTTCCACCAGAGATCCAAATGTGCATGAAATTGGCATTGGTATAGAATGCTTTTACCATTAAGTCCGCCTTCTGTACCATTATACCTTGTGGTCAATAAAGTTAAAGAAATAAATAAATTGGCATATTTCGATATACATGAACACTACACCAACTTTATTTTTTGGTCATCTCTGTTTTTATTTTGTTTTTTGTGTCTTTTTTTAATTCGTTTTTTTTTCTTTTTTTTTTCACAAAATTCGGGGAGCATAATATTTGTAAATAAAATAAGGCTGTTTACATTAAAAACAGAAAATTACCAAAAAATTAAGTTGGCGTAGTGTACATAGAGGTATCGATTTCAGCTGCAGCCTTTTTGAATCTCATGAAATACCTACGAAAATATTTTTTTAACAGATATTTGTTATAAAGATAACATACCGTTAAGCTGTTTCGAATTAATAAAAAAATTACCTTGTATTATTATTTAATCATTTAAGTATGATAGTTAACACTCTTATGCGTTTATATTTAATGCCGGTGCAAACCATTATCTTCTCAGATAACACAACAGCTATTTCTATCTATAATATGTATTTTATTACACAGTGTAAGATATTATAGTCTTATCGTGTGCACATGGATAAAGACTGTTGCTTTTTCCTACTACAAGTGCGCCATTAACAAAAGTTTGTAACATCGAGTTCTAAGTTTTCGAGATTGTTAAACAAAATTAAAATTATTTAACCGACTTCAATTCGACTGTACTTTTTGTGTGTCGGGCCTCATTTGTTATTTAATTACGCTCACGGTCGCCATATTAGTTTACGTTAAAAAATTAGTTTTTAATTTTACTCTTTTAAATTAGTTTTTTAACAAATTTTTTAACGTATGACGGCTGATGTATGGTGGTGGCGAAAGTTTTGGTATAAATATTCTTGACTTACGTAGAATAATTTCGATAATTCCTTATAAAATCGAATCTGTGAACATTTTACACATCTCAATAACTGCTGTTGTCAGATATGTTCAACCGACTTCAAAAAGGAGGAGGTTCTCAATTCGACAGTTTTTTTATGTATGTTACACAATTACTCCGGCTACTATAATTTTTGAACCAATTTGGATGATTCTTTTTTGTTGAAAAGAGGGTACCTGAGTATTCATCCCATTTAAATTTAAAGAAAATATTCCACCTATAAGGGTGGCAAACTAAGGGTCGTATTCTAGAACTCTACTCAATGCTCAATTCATGATTTGAGTATGGTTTAAAGCACTCGAAATCGTACTCAAGTCCCTGCCATTAGGGTCGTATTTCCAGTGCTTGTGTTGCCAGTGCAATCCTGACTTGAGCATTGAATAGAGTTCTAGAATACGACCCTAGGAGATGAATCTGGTTTCGTGCACTTTTCGGTAACCGATTTCAATAAAACTTGGCAAATTGATGTAATTCCACGAACGTTTGAGGTCAGTTTTTTTTATAAAAAAGTGATAATTATTTCGGAACTAAATTTCTCCTATTTTTCGCTATTACAATTTTACAGTGAAGAATAGGATGGTTTGCATTAATATTAGACATACATAATACAATAGTTTTTAATATACTTAAACTTAACTTTTGACAACCTGTAATTTTAATTTATATATTATATAATTTATTGTGAATTATTTTTGACACTATTCCGAAAGTATTTATTTGTTTACTTGCATCTTTTTTCGACGGCCTCGTAATATTTTACAGAAGTGGGTAGGAACGTCACAAGGAAGCAAAACGGTTTGCCGGCTTCTTTTACGAGCTCCCATCAATGAATTGTAGGTAAGGATTTAAGGTTCAGAAGAAGTGTATTCGGGCGATTTGCGGTGCGTGGTTCGACGACGGCTGCAAAACCGTTGTTTAAAACGCTAATTACATATTGCCTTTGCCATGAATGTACATTAGATATATCTGCGTATTTGTCAACTCTCATCTTCCATCCAATATTTTAAAACACGTGGTGAAGTCATTCAAAGGCAAACTAGAGGAAAAATTATGAACCTTTTCTTCATACCAACCTCGTTCCCATAAAGTAATTTAAGAATAACTGCTTCGACATTATGTACCTTTAATTTAAATAAATTACCAAACGAAATTAAATTATTACAAGGACATACTTCTAAATTACAATTGACCAAATTTCTTCTATAGTAATAAAGAATGCTTAGAATTTACAAATTCTGCTGTACATTAATTTGAAACTATAGAGACCAACCATTAAATTCCATTACTAATTGCACATCTGCTTGCAGGTTGAATTCAATGTACATAATTTTATTTAAGACCTGTATAATTACTGTACGAGTATTCTGGCAAATAAATGCATTATATTATGTTTACGGAAAATAGTACCATTTCCAAGCTTGTAAAAAAAAATAAAAAAATAAAAACACTTTATTCTTCAACACTTAATAAAAAAACTTGAAATACATGGCTGTGTTGAAGAAAAGGTAACAGCCTCAGCAATTTGCTGGTTCTCAGGCTTCGCCTTGTATATAATTGAGAACTACAAGTGAAGTATATTCGTCGCTGTAGACACTGCAGTATGCTGTTTCTAGTCAAATATGTAATTATTATATATATATATATGACCATCTCCTTTCCGCGAAGTTAAAGCCAATCTTTGAGCACACAAAAGTATTATTTATCATGGCATGAGTTTTTTTTGAAACGAGCTCCTTTTGCAAAAAATAAGTTATAATATTTTTTATGGAATGAAGAGTGGCAAGTATTGTACCATTTTGAAATCTTGATTATATGGGCCATCTTTTAAAATAACTTGCCCAGGGTAGTGTAGTACATTTTTTAAAAAATATGAAGTGTCTAAGCTAGCTGACATATTTTTTTAAGCTACGACTCAATGAAACTTATTTTTTTCTACTAAACTCATAACGTTTAATGTTTGATTTGTGACTGCAATAAATAGCATGGTTATTTATGATGACGTTAAAAAAAATCACTCCAAAATTTGAAAATTTGTGATGACAGTACCTAAACATGTGGCCTAGGGTATCGATTTTCAACATTTTCAAAAAAATGCCTATTATCACTTAACTAAGTGACATGGATTTTTTTTTTATTTTTACCAGAACTGATATAACCTGGCCTCTCGCCCAGTGACCGCTTGACGTTGAGTTTTGGGACACCCTATATATATTATTATATGTATGTATATATAGAATTTATTTTATAAAATAAAATTTAAAAATAATCTATAAAATAAATTAATTCCACTTAAAATCTTTATACCAAACTACAAACACGCGCACCGACCATGCAGCAAAAAAGTGTAAAAAGCGTTTTGGTACATACATAGAATAGCACAGGCAGAGAATGAAATTTAATTGAATATTATTAATTATATTAACCTAGCAGAACCTACTTTACCTTCAACCAACAGCACGAAATCTTCTGTTGTTTCTGCAGCCATTCTTCATACAAATATTTGAATGAGTATGGTGATTTGCATGTTTTAATTATTTATAATAATAATTATACGTTCCCCGTGGCCGTCTCCTTTCTATATTTTGCTTCCACGCTGGCTCTAGACATCTCTTTCGCCGCTCTACTTTCATTGATCCATGTGCTCAAACTATCTCAACATACCTTTCCCCATTCATCTACTCGTCTAGCCTCCATGTATGACCAGACGACTGACTACAGATTGGTGAAATTACAGGCACATGAGACTTGTGTCTCATGTCTCACGGTAACGGGCGCAATAGGAGTGCCCCTCAGCTCTTTGCGATTTAAAGCTCTGAGTGGCACTGCAACTTTTATGGACAGGCTTGTAGTTTACCGCCACTTAAAATTACAAATAAAAAGACTAGCCACAAAGATAGTCAAGCAGAGATTTAAAATTAGACCGACTTTCTTTTAGACCATTTTAGACAAAAGACGACGGGGTTAGTTCTAAACCTCAGACCAGAGAAACGACTTCCCTTAGACGTCCTACATTTTCCATTGTACAGGTGTACGGTCCGTCTACACATTACGTTGATTCTAATCCGTCGCGAAGGACCACTAGGTCCTTCGAACCGGATTTGTACCAGCGTCCTCTTCCAAACCACATAATTCTTGAATCACTCTACTCTTAACTGTATCATATAACTGCATATTAAATATTTTCTGAGGAATATCATTTCTGAATCAAAACTGCATTGTCCGCCGCTATTCGTGCCTTTTAAAACTAATCGCACATAAATTACCACTTTCACTGCTTTCCCTTTTTTTACTCTTCTTTCAATGTGTTACCGACCCTTATAACATACAGTCCAGATACATAAACTCTTTTACTTTTTCAACTTTACTTCCATCAATCCCAATCGTGTTCTATCAAACTATTGTTTGAATTTTAATTCAATAAACTTAGTTTTAAAACACAAGCGGTTCTATAGGTAATTAGTGTACATATAAAAATAATAATTTACATAAAATAACATGCTTATAACTCTATTGCAAATTTTAATATAAAATCTAAACAATAGATAATTATAAATGAATTATTTGTACTACAATGACTGATTTTATGAGTTCATCTCTCTATAATCACTATGAGACAGTAAAAACATCATGCAGGATGTTAAATAACCATAAATATATTAATCTACAATAACATACCTGCCTAAAAAAGAAGTTAGAATCAATCCTGTTCATGGCTGTAGACAGCAACCGTACATGTGTCCCAGTTGTGTTCACTGCGCACGCTGTGCCTACACTGATGCCTATTGCCAGTTTTTGCAGCATTCTGCCTGTTATAAAGGGTTATTAGTGTCAGAAAATTACACAATAATTGCCTCATTTATGGATGATGCGGCGTGTTGAAAAGGTTTTTAGTTGTTTGTATAGGTATGACGCAATTGTTACGTAGAATAAATAAAAAAAATCTTTATACCTGCCTACTACATTGAGAAACGTGTAAAAGTAAAATCCGTGTCTAAGCGAGATATGCTATTTAAATAATTTCCAAGCACGGATATGTGTTTTTTTCCCATCTATCTAGATGATTGACAAATCAAAAACAGGCTTCGAAACGAGAATCGTTCCTTTTATGTCGAGTCATTACTGTATCACGTTTGTATTTCCCTAATCCCTCTTCATAGAGTCTATAATAAAACACGAATTATTTGATTTTCGAAAATGTCTGTCGTCTCATGCGTCAGTCTCCTCATTATATTAGTCGCCTCGCTGTATCTGATTCCTCATTGTATCTGTCGCCTAACTGTGTCTATCGCCTTAACGAATCCGTGTCATTCTGTATTTGTCGTCTCATGCGTCTGTCGCCTCACTATATCTGCCGCTTCACTGTATCAGTCGTCTCACTACATCTGTTGCTGCACTGCATCTGTCGCCTCACTGTATGTGTTGCCTAACTGTACTTATCTGTATCCGTGTCAATCTCGTCTCATATGTCTGTCGCCTCGGTGTGTCTGTTGCCTCTCTGTATCTGTCGCCTCACTGCATCTGTCGCCTCACTGTATCTGTCGCCTAACTGTACTTATCGCCTCAATGTATCTATGTCAATCTCGTCTCATATGTCTGTCGCCTCAGTGTGCCTGTAACCTCCCTGTGTCGCGTTCCTGTATCATAAGTCAATTCGCGGGAGATACGGTGAGACACTGCTCTATTATCATTGCTGAATAGTCAACTTTTAGTGCATAGTATAGTATTGTCGCGCTTTTTGAGTTTTTTTTAATTTGTGATGCAGTGGCTAGAGAATCAGTGAAAAAATGCTTTCTATTTATGTACCTACAACATGACAAAAATACAAAAAAAAAACACAAGCAAACATACAAATGGGAACAAAAATGTCAGTACCTACTTGTGTCAAAAGAACTGTACAACAGAAGTAGTGGATGTACAGGCGACATCTCACACACTTAAAATATTGTTACTTTAAATATTCACAATTACGTACATTCAAATAAATAAATAAATACTCACAGAGAGGATATAACCACTTCGTTACTCACTGCGCAAATGTACGATTCAGAATGACTTACAAGACTTGGAATTATTTATCCAATAATTGCGCGTTGTGTTTTCATTTATTTTGAAAATAAAGTATTGTTCTCATATAATAGTTATTGAATTTGTTTTATTTATTATTGACACGAGAACATTTTATGTTCTCAGAGCAGATTTATTGATAGCTTCACTAAACCGAGAGCAAACATAAAGTGACTTGTTAACCCATTCTAATATCAACAATGATACTTAACATAAAAGAGAAAGTATTACAAAGAAATTTAATATCAAATAGGCAGTTGAGCGTCTACGCGGGCGTTCGAGCCTCTACGCGGACGTTCGAGCAACTATAAAGTCGATCGAGCGTCCACGCGGACGTTCCAGCGTCCACGCGGACGTTTTAGCGTCTACGCGGACGTTCGAGCGTTTATGCGGACGTTCCGTGTGCAAGATTCCGCATCGATATGTGTGGTGACTTTTATTATCAAAATACAACAAATCACAATCAAATTACAATTTCTTCCAAAAATAAATACCTTCACACTATACAATTCATTTATCCAATAAAAGAAATCTCAGTTAGATATTATGTTACTTCCAAACTATTCATTCATTTTCAATGTTAGGTTGATGATCATAGTCCTTTTCATTTACTATTTAAAGTTTTAGCACATTGTTAACTTATTTTCAGACTTTACTTTACTTTATCATTCACCAGTGGTATTGATTACAAATGCAATCTATAAAACGTTTTATCATTCAAACTTCAATGATATCATCAGACTCCATGCCATGGGTTATAATCTAAGTGCAGTCCAATAACGGACAATAATTGCCACTTTAATGAACTTGTGCAAAAGTTGTCAGTATTATATATTCAACTGCACTAACTAAAAAACTCACTGGTGCTTTTGGTATTTTTGGTGATGATGCATTATTCATATTTACATCCTACAATGATGGGTAGAGAACATTGAGATAGTAGCAGACCTTAAGTCAATGATATTAGCGCAAGATTGCGGTGGATGAAGACTGTCTCAAACAGTGAAGGAGGTCTCGGTGGAAGGAGGCCTATCTCAAACAGTGAGTGAAGTTAGTCTGTAGATGAGAATGACAATGGTTTTAAATGCTCGTAATTCATACAACTGGTCCGAAGACTCATCTACAGCATGACCTTAAAGATAAATTTTGAAATGGATAACTAGCAAAAATAGCCAAGGGCAAAAGCATTCAAGAATATTAAGAGTTCACAAGATTTGTATTGTTTCTACCTCCTCTAAGTTGGGCCTATTCTGCCCCGGAAAGGGTTTTGTATGACATGTAATAAAGTTTCTTTAAAGGTATAAAATAAGTTGTTAACATGCAAGTGAACAATTATAATAACAAGTAAGTACTCAAATAATATATTTAAACGGAAATTACATAAACAGGTAAAACACACAACGGTCTGGCGGCTTGCTGAGAATGACTGACAAAGTTTTTAATTATTCCATGCTGTCAGTGAACCACTGCTCCAGCCAGTGTACAGACCTTTATCTCACTTGGTGGAAAGTGGCAATGAGGTCGGCAATAGAGGTCAATGATAGAACATACAAACCTGTAATTATATAGGTATCTATTCACTCTCACCTTGAAAAAGGTAGTTACAGACTTCAGAGAACAAGTCTGACATTTATTTACTTTACAAACTACTTATGCAAAATGTAGTTACTACTACATTTTCAACATCACTACAACAGTTTGATCTAGTGAACACTCACCTTTATAATGAAATTGTATTGTGTGAACACAAATGTTTTATTATGTGATTTTAACTTAAATGAAATTTTCAACATCACTACAACAGTTTGATCTAGTGAACACTCACCTTTATAATGAAATTGTATTGTGTGAACACAAATGTTTTATTATGTGATTTTAACTTAAATGAAATTTAATATTTGCCTTATTCATTGATTTTTGAGATACATGTTATATATAATAAAACAAATGTTTGCCACCAAAATATTATTTCGTATCCTTTCTGATGCCATCTAGTCTGACTTAGAGTTGGAAGGAGAGATTTTAATATTAAACCAAGATAAAAATGTTGTTTTGAAAAATTACAGATAATTAATTTAATAGTTATTAATTTAATTTATAGGCTATGGTCCGGAATGTAAAAAATCCTTACAGAATAATAAATAGAGGTGGCCGTTTAAACGAAAAGCACTAAAAAAGTCTGCTTTTTAAAATAAGCGCATAAGCACTCTTTTCATTTTAAGCATAAGCATTGTTTTTAAACATAAAGTATATGCTCTAAAACGTTTTTCTAAACGACTTTTTAAGCGTCAAACTAAAAAGAGCTTTTACAAGCACGCTTTTTAAACATATGTTTCAATGTTAAAAAAATAAGCAGTTTTTTTCCATTTCAACGGTTAACAACTATAAAAATTAAATAACTTATGTTTTTGAACACTTTTAAACGCCAATGAATAAAATGTTATTATAATAATGTTATATAATAAAAATATAACTCTTTTTTTACAAAAGAAACTTACTTATCTTAATACCTTTAGTGGTCTACTCTTGCGTTTCGCTACCAACACAACGTTGCAAGCTTTTTTAACATAAAGGTCTATGCGCTTAAACGTTTTCTAAAAGATTTTGTTAGCTTCAAACTAAAAAGCGTTAAAAAAGCACGCTTTTTTAAAAACGCATAAGGTTTAAATGTTTAAAAAAATAAGCAGTTTTTCCCACCTTTAATAATATATAAAAGGAGCCGTTGTATTTACCTGATATGAAAACTGCTTTCATTTATACATAAAAAATTTCACTTTTGACGCGAACAGTTTCGGTAACGTAGCATTGATTACTAAGTTGATAATAAAGCTAAAGTTGACTTCAAAAGTTAAATCAAAAATGGTTTATCACTGTTTATCACATTATCTCATCAGCTCGTCTCACTCGAAATATGACTTTGACATTTGATGTTATTAGTGTTGTGTTGCTTAGTTTAGCATAACTAAATATACGCTCGATGAAAAACATGTCGATTATGTAATAAATTGACTTTCAACAAGGGCAATCGCTGTGTTAATAGTCTAATAACATTTTAATAATAACTCATATAAATTTGTTTTTTTTTTCTTGTATTCCAGTTCTTTTTTACTTACTACATATTTTGTTTCTTGGACATGTACTCCTTAAATTAAAAACTGTATTTGATATCTTAAATGTAAGCTAAATTAAAAAAAAAGATAAATGATGAACTTTGACGATGATCATAAGAAATTTCAACAAAATCCTGTGTAATATCGACTATCGACATTAAATAGCGGAATCTTGTAAACACTACAAAAAATAATGTGATTTACTTATCGCGCTACAATTGCATATGACAGAAAGAGATACACGAAAATCCAGACGCGACGACAATATCTGTCCATCAAGTCATTTAGCGCTTTTTTACCAGCTAGGATACTTGCATTTACGTCAAACGTTGCTATAAACTTGCCATTACAATCGGATTCCCTATTTTCAGGGAAGTTGTCAAAATTTCAAGAAAATTACTGGTTTAATAGAAATAATTTATGTCCTTTTTAGATTTTGAGTGATAAATTTCAGAGTGACGTCAAGTGTTTCTAATTTGCTTTATTATGTGAAATATATATAAAGAAAAATGAAAAAAATATATTTTTTTTAACACGTAAACTAGTTTTAGTGAAAGAGATTTAGCAATAAACATAACTAACAAACACAAGGTAAATGCTGTAACGATTATACTAGAAGATATTATTCATGAAATACGTTTTGAGAAAAACAAACGGCACTGATTAATGATAAAATGCATTTTTCTCAATTACGTGAAGTTGGCCCTGCATTGTATCAATGTGTGCTGTTTGTTGTATTCTCTTTTCAATTTGCACGTTGAATTAGAATATGTTCATCTCTGTCTTCCACCACTACCGATATAGTACGTCAATACCACTTTCATCCCCACCAACCAGTCAATATTTTGCTCTCGTGACTACACGATCGAGCAGTGTGTGTGTGAAAGCAGCTACTGCGGCTGTGCAATGTATTGATGTAAACATTCTCTTGTCATTTTATTTCAGTGCGTTTAGAAGATCGTATGGGAATCTTACAAGGCGCACTTTAATAAAAACATGCTAACAGCTGATTTCTCGTTAAAAAATTGTGCAAAGGAAGCATTGTGTAACGGAAACAAAACATTATTTGATTGATAGCGAAATAGGAGTGTGTTGAAAATTCTTTGTTTAGATGTGATTTAGTAGTACCGAGAGGTTAGTTTTTATTTTATTGTTTTTTACTAAACATGTAGTATATTTATCCTAAATTAGAAAAGTGGAATTCTTGTGAAAATTCTGTGTGTGAAACTTGGAAAACCGAAGAGTCCATTTTGCTGAGCTGCTGTTACTACTCTTGGTAAGATTCCTAAAAACAAAATTATTAATTATCTCATAAAATGATTGTTTAGATTTTCCGTTAACATTATCCATCATATCATTTATCTAAAGGGTCAGCTGAGTAATGTTTTTATACAAATACTAGTAAAAACCAGTTTGTGTTATTTGCCACGCCAATATCGACACTGCGTAGTGAGTACTGTTTTTCTACCTACCTGGTAACTACTTCCTAGTTTGGGATCACTATTAGGTCGGGGCGTTAAAAAATATTATTTATCGGATCACTGGTCAAATAAAGTAGCTATGAAAAAGGGTGTTCCGCGTCGGCAAATCTTGATATTGGCTGTCGGAAACATTTGTAAAGGGGTCCGTGCTAGCTCCCCCGATGGCTACTCTACCGAATTGGATTTAGGCAAGTAAACTACATGGGTGGAGTCGACATCAAGGAGAGTGTGCACGGACACTTTTGGCTCTATTATCCTATCAATAATGACTGAAACTGTTCCACCAGTTTGTGGGTGTTTAAAACACCCGCCCATTCCACAACCATTGACAAATACACCAACGAAGATCAAAAACTGTCACAGTCTCCATCGTAGTATTTTTCGTATTTCTTTGCATTACGAAAAATATCCACATGGGTTACTTTAGTTAGTATTTACTCACCTAGGTATCTTATCGATTTTAACGTTTTAATATTATGTATAATGGTAAAAAAGATACCTCTATCTTTTGTACCATTATCTCTATTAAATTACACGTTTTACCCACGTGTACCTTTATTACAACTAGTATAATGCTAAAAAGAAATGAATGCCAATGTTGGTGCAGACATACAAACTTTTTCATTCCCGCTAATATTCCCGCGTATTTCAACACTGCGCGGCAGAAATAGAGACTGTCCTTGCCTTGTTAAAACGCGCTAAACCAACGACGCACGGTTAAATTAATTTTCTCTGGTTTAAAATAGATGCATTCATCAGAGCCCACGTCATATTTAAACATCATATAAATTGCAGTAAATTTGCAACACACAACGTGGGAAATAATAGTAACTGAAGAGCTGCGAAAAAATGGACGCATTTTTAATGAATAGTTCCTAAATATACTAAATATTGAGAAGCATAGTTCAAACCTCTTCAAACGTTGGTAAACAGTCCCAAGCAAATTTTTATAAAGAACACATCGTGGATACAAAAACTTAGCGCTTTTTAACTTTAAAAAAAAATAACTCGCACGTCATACGAGGTTGTAGAGATAAGCTTTATGAGATAACCTAGGCACCAACGTAAATGAAAAAGGGGTTTTGGATGTTTTAATAAATCACATTGCAAAGGGTCCATGCGTGGATTACGAAAGCAGGAAATGTAAATTGAAAAACCGGAAACAGTCAACACGTTGAAAGCAGTTTGCGCTAAGGGAACGATTGGACGTTGTTTTGTCTTTGTAATATGAATAATATATAATAGATATAAACAAAACGTCTAAGTTGACATTGGTGGTTGGAGGATTTTACCTAGAGGCTAAAATAATCAAGTATGAGTGTCATAACTTCAAAAACACGTTAATATCGTTCCACAACCGAGTTAAAAATTAAGAAAGAAAATAAATTTTTTTGACTACCACAAATGTCACTACACAAGAATAAAGAAACAAAACAAAAACATTCACACTTAAGACATAAATAAATAATTACAAAACAAAATCAATTCAAAACAGAAGCTAAATTAAATAACAAATTATTTACATCAACGTAAACAAAAGCACTAAGAATAATAAGATGCCTTGTGTAGTGCCAGCCGCGGTAACAAAGGGTCACTAACTCAGTATTTGCTGGAAAACAATACGTTCCCGACACAGATTTTCAGTTAGAACCTACGCAATAGTAGGTAAATAACACAAAAAACTTATAATTACATTTTCTTTTTGTTATATTTTACGAAAAGTCACGAACTAATTGCTATTATAGTTATGCATAAAGATGAGTAAATATTCAAATGTTATTAACGAATTTCCACATTTAGCAACGACATTATATAACGACGTTATAATTGCTTTGGAAGATTCTGCAGTCTTTGAACCCGATGATGCATTAGCACTAGGTACTCATTTCATCCGCTCGAAACTATCATGAGACCCATAATAATTACTATTGGTGAAAGTGAACACGACGCTCAGTTAGTAACTTACATCAAAGTAAGTTCCTATACCAATTATTCCCTAGTTGGTGCTGCTCACATAATCTAATCGCCGTCTATCTAAAAGTAAATCTAAATCTTCTTTATGTTAATTCTACCACATTTCCGTGTCCATTCCAATTATTACTTACCCAGTTCACAAGTGATTACTTTGTAAACAGACCGCAACACGTGTCTCCTACGCTGATGTATAATAAACGTGTCATAGCAACAACCTTGGTCATCCTCGTAAAGCTTAGTATCTACGATTTCAAACAATTCTTTAAAAAACTTCCATAACTGCGCATTACCAATTACTATTGCGTAGTTGTTTCGCCACACAATTCGCCGGCGTTTTTGACACTATGAAGGACGTACGATGTGGTCACGCTTATCGTCAAACGATTTGATTGTCCGCAAATGACAAATATAATCACCAGTTTAACAGAGTGCCTTTTGGGTCAGCAAACCAGCAGTACGTAATTTAGTATGTATTGAAATCGTTTCGGTCAAAATTTTCATTATTGTTATTAACACTTGGTTCATTAGACTTTTATTGGTCCTAGAGACATTGTCGCGTCAGTTTACCCCAAGAGAGCAGACGGTTGCGGCCACACGATAAATAATGGCTCTTTGTAGTCGCACACCCAGCCAGGACTGCAATAAGTTCACCGTCCAGACAGGGCAGACAGGGCGCGCCACAAGAGTTGTTGACTAGATGCATTTTAATATCTCAATATCTACTAGACATTTTATTTGCATTGTTCGTTTCAAGAGGGAAACATAATACAGACTGAAAGTATTGCTTTTAAATATTTTGGAAAGCCAACTGAATTTCAATATTGCAAATCAAATTAATCTGTAATTCATTTCGTGCAGACACTAAATTCAAGTTAATTGTAAAAAAAGAAAACAATAAATCATAAATTGGATTGGAAGCGAACATCAAAACGGTACATGTTACAGCCTTGGCAGTTCTCTGAACTACGTTTTTAAACTATCATTGAATGTAAAATGTTGCTATTGTTAAGATTAGCATTAGGTAACATCGTGTTCTGTTTTTTGCCTCCAAGCAAATTTGCATTCTTTAACCTTGACAGTGTTTGGTTTAGCGATAACCATCACGAACCGGCCTGACAACTGCATAAGACTTTTAAATTATAGTAGTCACTGCTAGTGCCGGCATGCTACTAGCCATTGTGAATGTTTATTTGCTTATTACATATAGTAGCTTTATTATGTCCAGTGGTGTCCAATTTGCGTTATAAAACACGGACGATGGACTCAGTTCTTTTGCAAGCCTGCCAATTTTCATTCACGTATTTAAGAAATGTACAAAACTTGGCCAACTAATGATCGTTTCAACTCCCGACGCAAAAAGATGCATTCGCAGCTCCCAAACAGTTGGAATGATCATAAAGCGTTTTTTTTTAATTCGAAGGCTAAATTAGTCGGGATGGTTCTTTGCTATTTTCGATAAACGTTGGTAAAGAACATCGGGTATTTTTTGTGTTACTCTAGAGATCTAGAATAGAATTGAATAGAAACCATTTATTACAACACCACAACGCAAAAATACACAATAAGAAGGATAAAAGAAGATAAAGCTAAATTAAAACAAAAATAAAATAGAATAACAAAAAGAATAAAATAAAATGAAATAAAAATAAAATCATAATAATAGGTAATAAACAACAAAGCAAATATTAAATAGTTAACACAATTAAACTAGACGTCATGTGTGTGACGCTGATTTTCAGTGGGCTCTCAATAGAGTGCGTACCGGACGGATCTCGTTATAACCTATTAGTTTATTTTACTTCCGCTTGTCCGAGGACTCAAAATTTGGTATATCGTTCAAATCCGATGACATCACAATAACATGGTAACATTGATCTAATGGTGCAACCAAGATCAGTCAGCAGACTACCCGACTCCTCAACTACTTACAGTAGAAAGAACTAACCTGTTTAGCCTTTAAATTGGTCTCTACGAGCTAATAGATCCTGTTTGGGCTCAGTAAATTGGTCTCCACGAGCTGTTAGATCCTGTTTGGGCTCATTAAATTGGTCTCTACGAGCTGTTAGTTTACAGACGGTCTCATTAAATTGGTCTCTACGAGCTGTTAATTTACAGACGGTGACTTTCTTGGCTTTTTTATTGAAGTTTTTAATTATCTTAATAAGAGACCTTCGATACTTTATGAGTTTGCACAATTGACGGACATCACAGCGTTGCCCAACGTGTGTGTGGCCAACTAGGCAGTGCAATTTTATACGCACCACTTCAAATGTAGCGCGGATTTATATCATATTACTGTAAACTTTGATGTTATGTTATTTGATGTTAATTGCTGAACTGATCTACTTTTAACATCATCGACTTTAAACTTATCCTAGATCTTTAGTTTTCAATATTGCTACACATTTTAGCAGTAGAGATCCTTGTGATAGATTTCGTCCAGGGAAGTACTGCCACCATATACCTGTTTCTGCCGTAAAGCAGTAATGTGAGCATTACTGCACTTCGGTTTTGAAGGGTAAGTGTGCTGTCAACTTATGTCTCAGGGTGACAGGCGCAATGGCAGTGTCTTTCAGATTGATGCGATTTATAGCACAGAGTCGCACTGCAACTGTTATGGACAGGCGTGTCGCTTACCAACAGGCGCACGACTTGTTCGTCGCGGCACTTGATATCATAAAAAAAACTTAAATCTTAAAGTTCCCTTTTTCTGTACAAAGCCCGAAACGTTGGTTTGTTTGAAAATAGTTCCATTTCCAATTCTGTAGCTCATATTTTGGAATTTACATGTTATTAGTAGTTGGTACTTGGTGCAACGGGC